GCTAGTCAAGTGAAACAGTGGGAGTGAAAAAGGAACAAAGAAATCTGTAGCGGGTTGTGATCAACTAGTGTAAACACCACTGCACCCAGACCAGCCTGAATATTTTTCATTCGCGCATTTTGTATTGTTAGTTGGAACATGAACATATTTATTATAAAAAGTTGAAATATATTTATTTTTTCTAGGGAGGCTCTCACTCTGTCACCCACCGCTGAAGTTCAGTGGCCTGATCATGGCTCATTGCAGCCTCAACCTCCTAGGCTGAAGCAATACTCCAACCTCTCAACCTCCCAAGTAGCTGGGACCACAGGTGCATGCCACTATGCCCAGTAAATTTTTTTCTTTTTACTTTTGGTAGAGACACCTTCTTATCATTTTGTCTCCAGACTTGTCTGGAACTCCTGGGCTCAAGCAATCTTCCCATCTTGGCCACCCAAAGTATTGGGATTATAGATGTGACCTACCATGCCTGTCTGAAACTTTTCTTTTTTTTTTTTTGAGACGGAGTTTCACTTTTGTTGCCCAGGCTGGAGTGCAATGGTGCCATGTTAGCTCTTTGCAAACTCTGCCTTCCGGGTTCAAGTGATTCTCCTGCCTCAGCCTCCTGAGTAGCTGGGATTATAGGCATGTGCCACCATGTCCAGCTAATTTTGTATTTTTAGTAGAGATGGGGTTTCTCCATGTTGGCCAGGCTGGTCTTGAACTCCCAACCTCAGGTGATCTGTCCACCTCGGCCTCCCAAAGTGCTGCGCTGCACCTGGCCATGTTTTTCGAAAACAGAAGAAAGTGAGGGAATAAAATATAAATATAAATATTTATATATATAAAATCCAGTTTTCTAGTAATGAAAATGATATAGTGAAACATTGGCTGTTCTGTTTGCTTAATTTTGTGATGATGATTTAAGGCTGTTAGAGAAGCAGAGTTTGGTTTCTGATTTCATTACAAGTAACACTGATTAATAGTGAAGTGGGATATGGGAACGGTAAAGCAACTACTATAACTAGACTGTCAGCAAAAATGCAAATTGATTAATGACGTTTTCTTTTTTCGAAGACAGAGTCTTGCTATGTTTCCCAGGCTGGAATGCAGTGGCGTGATCTTGGCTAACTGCAGCCTTGACCTCCTGAGTGCAAGTTATCCTCTTACCTCAGCCTCCCAAATAGCTGGGACTAGAGGTGTGTGCCACTACACCCCACTAATTTTATTTTTTGTAGAAATGAAGTTTCACTACATTCCTCAGGCTGGTCTCCAATTCCTGGGCTCAAGCGATCCTCTGCCTCAGCCTCCCTAAATGCTGGGATTACAGGCCTGAGCCACTCTGTTCAGCAGACATTTTCAATCTTGATATTAGATCATGTTTCCTTTTTTCTCTGAGCTCTGCTAACTTTCCAAATTGTACTCATATCCACAGAGGCAGCAGTTTTTGGAGTCAGATTCATATCCAATCTTCTGGACTACAGGTTATCGATCGACTTACGACCTATGCAACTTACGACCATTCGATTTTACGACCACAATCGCTAGCCACGACTGCTCCGCGTCTGGCAGCGCAAACGTTGCTCAGCTGGGCGCACGACAGTGCGGACCAGCTTCTGGCAGCACTACCATCTCCACGTGCACCATTTCAACTGTTATCCCAGACTCGGTACAGCAATTTGTGTTTTGTGTCTTGGGTATTTTTCATCAAACCCCTCTCAATAAACTTCTCATACATTTCGAAGCAATGGACCCAAACATCGAACGAGTTGCAAGGATTGAACGGATGGCGCACGATGTGTCTCGTCCGTATTGTGAAATTTATGAAGAAAAAAAGAAACATACAATTCAGACAAAGCTCACCATGTTTATGAAAAAACCAACTCCGGTCACCCCAACTGCTGCCTCAGATGACGACATCAACGATCTGCAGCCAAGCACCAGTGGCCAATAAAATGTTTCGTACATGTTTATGTATTTTTTTTTTTTTTGAGACGGAGTTTCGCTCTTGTTACCCTGGCTGGAGCGCAATGGCGCGATCCCGGCTCACCGCAACCTCTGCCTCCTGGGTTCAGGCAATTCTCCTGCCTCAGCCTCCTGAGTAGCTGGGATTACAGGCACGCACCACCATGCCCAGCTGATTTTTTGTATTTTTAGTAGAGACGGGGTTTCACCATGTTGACCAGGATGGTCTCGATCTCTTGACCTCGTGATCCACCCGCCTCGGCCTCCCACAGTGCTGGGATTACAGGCTTGAGCCACCGCGCCCGGCCATGTTTATGTATTTTGATATGTTTTGCAATTGAGAAAATGTTTCCTATGGTATTTTTTACACCTGTATTTTGTATTTTTGTATGCACCTGTATTTTGTAATTTTCTATGTTTTGCAAATATTAAACGAGTTGTACTGGTAATGCAGTGTTTTAATTAAACCTGACGAATGTAAAAATAAGAAACAAAATGGTGTAGAGATGATACAAATGGCATAAAATGAACAAAGAAAATTATGATATATAACAATAATGAAAGAAAATTATGATAAAATATGACAAAGATTTTTATAATATCATTTTACAGTACTGTACATATAGCCTACTCAACTTATGACCAAATCGTGTTACGATAGGTCTGTCGGAACCAATCATGGTTAAGTCGAGCACTAGCTGTACAGTGGGTCAAAATATAGCCTGACAAGTTTTTGAATTGTTTTTGAACTTAAGCAGTAATGGATCAGGCCCAAATCTTTAAGTGAATTCCTGGTGTGATTCATATAAAGTATACAGACAACTTAGCCACCTTTTGGAGAGTAGCTCAGTCTTTATTTCCCATCAGTTCGGAGTAGAACCCACTGTGAATTCTTTATATATGTCACCTAAGATTTAAAACTCTCTTTTTCCTACACCCAGATAAATGCTCTATTCAGTTGCAAATGCTTTATACTTCCTATTTTGAAGTCAGTTGCTCGGCAGCGCATCCAAGCAACTGCCAGAGTGATGACAGCTTCAAAAGTTAGCCACAGTGTGACTTCTAAGCTGAATATAATCAAAGGAATTCCCTTTCATCCTGTTTTCTTTCCAACTCTCAGAACTACTATCATTCCATACACAAAACAGCCAGGATTAAAAACTGGAGCACAGAATTAGGACAAAGCTAACTTTAAGTAGTTTTCTGCTGAGGTGGAAGGATATATCGAAGTATTTTCTAGCTCTAAAGATGTAGGTTAAATTTTGAATACTACCAGCGAGTGGTAAATGAGAGTAAAGCAAAACTAACACACCCTAGAGATTGTAACTGCTCTCAAGGAAGGCACTAAGTGATCACCAGAACCAAACATAACACCTGGCCTATAGTGAGGAAGTAGCTGTTCATTTCAGTAAATGCTTGCTGAATGAATTGAATATTTCAATTCATTCAGGATCCACAGATTCCTTAAAGGTCATCTAATTCAACTTCCTCATTTTATATATGAAAAAATAAAACTGAGGTATAGAGACAATTTTAGCTTATCTGCTGTGACATTTTGAAGCAATGGCTTGTTGGCATGTCATTTGTCATGTGCAAGGTAAAGCCGCATAGCGGGTAAGACTATGAAGCCTCTCTGCCTGACTTCTGGTTTTGCTACTTACTTGCTGCATGACTGTGGACAAATAATTTAACGCATTTATGCCTAGTGTTCCATTACTGGAACGCTAACCATGTGGGAGTAATTTATATCCTACTGCTCAAGGTCATCGCCAAGGACTGATGGCAAAAGTTCAAAAAACTGCAACCTCCAGCATATTTAATATTTTTGTTCCTTGGTTGTCTTATCTGCAAAATGGGAAACAGGCTGAAATGCTTGGGACTGGAAGTATTTTGGATTTCTTTCAGGTTTTGGGATATTTGCATTACACTTAATGATTAAGCTTCCCAAATCCGAAAATCTGAAATTCAAAATGCTCCAATTAGCATTTCCTTTGACCATCCCCTCAGTGCTCAAGAAGTTTTAAATTTTGGAGCATTTTGGATTTCTGGATTAGGGATACTCAACCTGTAATAGTGGCAGCTACCTCACACAGGTGTGACAAAGATTAGTTAATACACGTAAAACACTTGGAACAGTTACAGGCTTAGTAAACACTTCATAAATCTTAGCTATTCAAAATAATTAACAGAGAGTTACTCCTGAGCTTTTCCTATGCAGATCCCAGTTTTTCATACTTACTATGAAAAAAACTTCATGGAAAAAGTTTTAATTCTCTCCATCTAACACAGTCAGCAAGCTCCCAGAGGGGAAAGAATCTGCTCAGGAGGAAGGCCAATGCCTTCTACTAGGCACTTTACACTTTCATTTTAAGGTTCATGATCTTAAGAAATATCCTGCTACCTTCGAAGTCTTTCTACCCTCAATGGTGAGCACAGAACCTGGGTCACAGTGTTTCCATTGTGCTTCCAGTCCAGAGCATTTCAGACGAATGAATGATGAACAAATGACAGAGCGCAGGGCGAGCAGCTCAGCAAAGGTCAAGCAGGAGATAGAGAAGCGCGGTGTCTACAGTACTGGTCCATTAAGTTTTTTTTTTCCTCATTGGGCAGATGTATTCGCACAATTCTACCTTCAACTAGTTTGCCAGGCTCACCGGAGGTGCTTAGTAAAATTTTGTTGAGTAAATACTGATGATGAAGTATCCTGGGACTTGGCCCTGTCAGGGTGGTTGGGGCTAGCAGTGGAGATCCTCACAGGAGAGTAATGATGCTTTTTGGACACAGATTGCTGTGTCCGAGCTGAGATGCTTAAACATTTACTTCATGTACGGCAGGGATGACCTCGCATTCATAAATTCCTTTCCTTTCTAACAGATATATGCCTATTTTCTTAAAAAGAGTAATTCCTTAAAAGTTCCTACCCTAGTACAAAAACAAATTGCAAGCAATCATTAAATTCCATCAACAAATCGTTCCACTTACAGCTGGATTACAACCCAAACCAAATAGAAGCCACAGCTGTAACTGGGGGTTGGGAAGTGGAGAGAAAGGGGCTGGAGAGGGAGCGGTGAGAACACCAGCGGCTCCCAAGCTAACTCCTAGCCACGCTACCCACCCAGCTGGGTCCCCAGGAAACGACGCCATCGGCGCTGTCCCACTGCGCAGGCTCCAACCCTCGGCCCGCATGCGCAGTCAGTCCAACCCGGCCTGGGGAAGTTTCCTTTTGCACGTCTGCTACATCAGTCTCCTGTTTCTCCACTTACCTTCTCCATTTTCCTAGTCCCTGCAGGTAGGATCCTAGGGGTTAACTCCCTTTTCACCAAGCTCCCGAGGCCCTTGAGCCCTCGGCTTCTTACCTCAGCGGCTTTAGCACTTTCCCCTACAGCCCCGCCCCCAGGGTCTGCCGGAGCTGCCGCGCACACCACGACGAGGACAGCGGCGTGCTCGCGCCCTCACAATGGGAGCCGGCAGCGTGCGCGCGTCCGTGCCGTGGTGGGCGTGACCAGGGCGGAGACGCGAGTAGGGAAGTAGGGAACGCGCTCCGGGAGAGGACTTCCGGCTCCTTCGCCTTTTCTCCCTGTACGTCTAGTACTTTTCTCCATCTCTTTGATGATTCGGGGCCTCGGCTTCCCTCACGGTATTGCAGGAGGACACAGCTTTCCTCTTCCTCTCCAAACCACCTCGAAGCAGGGTTAAGTTGGTTATTCCCCTCTTTGCTTCCGAGCAGTCTAGGCCCAGGGCCATGCAGGGCAGGTAGCTGCTGCTTTTGCTGTCTCCCGGACAACTACCTGTTCTTCTGGAACTTGTGGTCTGAGGTCCCGTCCTTCACCTTAGTCTGTTTTTGTGGGGAAACTTTTTTTTTAGCTTTCCCCTTGCAAGTGTTTTTTTGTTGAGAATTTTAGAGGCCTCGGGGAATAGGTCACTGGGGTGTGATGTCATCGACTATTGCTAATTATGTGCCCTTTTTCTCCATCCCTGTCGGTTTACCTTCTGTGTTATTTTTCACGAAACCTCTTCTTGGTTCTGTAAGCACAAAAACCATCAATTATTACTATTTTGAAACATTTATTTTTTTTGGAGAGGGAGTCTTGTTCTGTCGCCCAGGCTGGAGTGGACTGGCGCCATCTCAGCTCACTGCAACTTCCACCTCTAAGACTCCCGAGTAGTTGGGATTACAGGCGCCAGCCACCACGCCCGACTACTTTTTGTATTTTTAGTAGCAACGGGGCTTCACCGTGTTGGCAAGACTGGTCTCGAACTCCTAACCTCAGGTGATCTGCCCGCCTCGGCCTCCTAAAGTGCAGGGATTACAGATGTGAGCCACCGCACCCGGCCCAAACCATCCATTAAAGTGACTTATTTGCTGAGGGTTGGACTGAACGTTAGTGTATTTATTAAGGATTGACTTGTTTTCTTTGGAACTCTTCAGTATTTTGGGCCTCAAGACTGTTTGGGCTTCAAGCTGTACGTGGTAGGAATATTGGTTCAATTTAACCTCAGCTAGCCTATAAGAACCTTGTTTTTCTAAATTATTGATTCATTAAGTGGTGTGACCAGACGCTTGGTTTCTCAGTGAGTGATGTGCATTTTGTTGGGCAGTGGCCTGTAGAAATTGGATTCCTTCCATGAGCAATATGTTGATCTGAAAACCGTATTGGTTAAGTTGTTATTTTAACTGTGCTTTGACAGGCAACTGGAGCTGATTGGTATGAATGTCTAGCATCTCTAAAAGTACTTAGGGGTATTTTTTTTTTCTGGGTGGTTAAATTTATTAAATATCCCTCATTGTCTTAATTGTCTTGCTAGATAGAGTGTGCCCAATGTGGTGGCTCATGCCTGTAATCCCAGCACTTTGGGGGGGCCAAGGCAGGTGGGTCACCTGAGGTCAGGAGTTCAAGACCAGCCTGGCCAACATGGTGAAACCCCGTCTCTACTAAAAATACAAAAAATTAGCTGGGTGTGGTGGTGGGCACCTGTAATTCCAACTATTGGGAAGGCTGAGGCAGGAGAATCTCTTGAACCTGGGAGCCAGAGGTTGCAGGGAGCAGAGATCACGCCATTGCCCTCCAGCCTGGGCAACAAGAATGAGACACCGTCTGGGGGAAAAAAAAATGAGATATTGTGCACATGGTTAGGTAACCACTGAAGTTTGCATTTTACTCACTAGGTTGAAGTGATAAAGAGACCTTTATTCTCTCTTTCAAAGTCATGTACAGGCTGTGTTTATATATAGGCATTTATAATGCCTTTTTCTTTTCTCTTTCTTTTTCTTTCCTCCCTTTTTTTTTTTTTTTTGAAACGGAGCTTTGCTCTTGTTGCCCAGGCTGGAGTGCAGTGGCGTGATCTTGGCTCACCGCATTCTCTGCCTCCCAGGTTCAAGCAATTCACCTGCCTCAGCCTCCTGAGTAGCTGGTATTACAGGCATGTGCCACCACGCCTGACTAATTTTTTGTATTTTAGTAGAGGCGGGGTTTCTCCATGCTGGCCAGGCTGACCTCAGGTGATCCACCTGCCTCAGCTTCCTGAAATGCTGGGATTACAGGCGTGAGCCACCATGCCTGGCCCCCGCCCCCCCCCCCCCCTTTTTTTTTTTTTTTAGAGAGACAGGGTTTTGCCATGTGCCCAGGCTAGTTTCAAACTCTTGAGCTCAAGCAGTCCTCCTTCCTTGGCTTCCCAAAGTGGTGGGATTACAGGAGTGAGCCACCATGCCTGGCCCTTTTCTCTTTTTCTTTTTTTAGAGGCTGGTCTTGATTTCCAACCTCAAGCAATCCTCCCACCTTGGCCTCTCAAAATGCTAGGATTACAGGTGTGAGCCACTGTTCCTGGCCAGCCCTCCCTCCCTTCCTCCCTTCTTTTTTTTTTTTTTTTTTAGAGTGTATGCCTTTTAATCTCTATTTTGGAGGGTGATAAATACTTTACACATTACTTTGTTGTCTGGAGTGAGCCAGTGTGGTAAAAAAAATGCAGCAATTGACATAAACTAGTTTACAGATGGGAAATCCAATGGGAAACAGGGCCTTTTTTGTTTAAGAGACACTGTGATCTGATGCCCAATTCAGACCTATGTAATACACTAGAGATAGGACTATCTCTAGTCACTAGAGTTAGGACTTTAATTATCACTAAGAAAGGTAAGATGTTAATTATATTTTTCAGGACGTCACTGGAATATTATTTGGAGAAAGTGTCATGGAAGTTCTGCGTCCACAGCTTATAAGAATTGATGGCCGGAATTATAGGAAGAATCCAATCCAAGAACAGACCTATCAACGTGAAGAAGATGAAGAGGACTTTTATCAAGGTAATCCTAGTTGCTCTTTGGTCAGATAAGTAAAATGTCCTGTGTATTGTAGGATCAATTCTTTGTTTTGTTTCAATGTGTTTGTGTGTCTGCACTGAAATTTGAGATGTTTGGCCTCATATAGCTCCATTTGTGTTCATGTCTAAGGGTACTGATGAGTTTGAGTTTAGCCGAAGTGTTTTTGGTTGCAACTTATAAGTTATGTTTCTTCTTTGTACAGAGGCTTAAATATCATAAAGAGTAATTTTAGTTAATTATTGATATTAACCATTAATATTCTATGGCAAAATTAAATTCTTTTGTCTGTAAAGTTATTATTATTTTTTGAGACAGTCTTATTCTGTCACCTAGGCTGGAGTGCAGTCGTGTGATCTCTGCTCACTGCAACCCCCTCCTCCCAGGTTCCAGCAATTCTGGTGCCTCAGCCTCCCAAGTGGCTGGGACCACGGGCACATGCCACGATGCCCAGCTAATTTTTGTATTTTTAGTAGAGATAGGATTTCACCATTGTTGGCCAGGCTGGTCTTGAACTCCTGACCTCAAGTGATCCACCTGCCTCGGCCTCTCTAAGTGCTGGGATTACAGGCGTGAGCCATTGTGCCCAGCCCTAAAGTAATTATATGTAAATTTCTGAAATAAATGAACGTATGTATTTAGTCCAGTGCCCAATAGTGTTACCAAAATCCTTGGATGCTCATGTCCCTTTTGTAGAACAGCGTGTTATTTGCATGTAACCTACACGTATCCTACTTGAAATCCTCTTTTATAATACATATATACCTAATACAATGCAAGTGTTCTGTAAATAGTTGTTATGCTGTATTTTTATTTTTTATTTTATTATTTATTATTATTATTATTTTTTGAGATAGAGTTTTGCTCTTGTCGTCCAGGCTGGAGTGTAACAGCGCGATCTCGGCTCACTGCAACCTCTGCCTCCTGGTTTCAAGCAATTCTCCTGCCTCAGCCTCCCCAGTAGCTGGGTCTACTGGCACGTGTCACCATGCCTGGCTAATTTTTGTATTTT